CCCCCAAATCTCCTGCCCTCATCCCACCCCCACATCTCAAGCCCCGATCCCGCCCTAAAATCTCCTGCCCCCACCCAGCCTTTAAATCTCCTGCCCCCATCCCGCCCTCGAATCATCAGACCCCTCCCACCTTCGAATCTTCTGCCCCCTACCCGCCCAGGACTAATAACCACCCATACAATTATACAATCTTATGGCTGAAAACAAATATATACAACATTAATGGTTCGTGCATGAGTCTTTTATGTAAACCTCGTTATTTTAAAGAGGCACTCACATTGGAGTGGTCCTTCAGAAACCCACTATTTTGCAAAATATATTTACTAACAAAGTCGGAGGACTGGTCACTAATTTTAAATAACTTTTCAATAAATATATCAAATGTATTTTTGGTTAGATTAGTTCGTTTTTAAGGTAGCATCAACCGTTCATAAATTACAGAAGCCTGGGTTTTCGGTTTTCGCTAAGACCTAAGAAATGGCGAAGTTCATAGTTACCTTAAAGGATATCTGCATTCCATCCTTCTTTTGATCGCCTAGGGTAAGGTTGCCTGAGTGGAGATGTTCAGTGTCTGCAAATGTTTTCAGACGTTCGTGCTCCATACCCTGAAAGGATACCCATAAAAATTCAGAACAATATCTGTATGAAAATAATTACCGCTAAAGTTTTTACCGTGTGACATATTACAAACACACGAAAACTGTGCATAAGGTATACATCTCTCTATACAAAGCAAAGAAAGGGAATTTTCAAACTCTTTTTTACTACTCAAATTCAATTTGACGAACTGGTTGACCAGGCTTCATATGAAGAAGAGATATTTCTCACATTGCTTCCCCCCCCAAAAAAAATTAAAATAAAATTTCCTGCAAATGCAGGACTTCTCGATTGGAACGAATTTATAACTCAAAAATTTCGTTTACGACTTTCATATCACAGCGGCAGCTATACGAGGCTACTGTATCCGGATACATGCAAAAGAAATCATGTCAATTTAGCATGACCTGCATTCAAGGTCGTTGGCTGTGCAAATTTCACTACCAAAAATATGCATGTATTGTACACGCCCCTACGTACACAGCCTGGTATACAGACTAGAGGCTGGGAAACAGACTATAAAATATATAGACAACAACTACGAATTTCATCAGTGCATTCTCTTTAAGAACTCTATAAAGGAGTGAGTGAAAATTAAGTGTTGTCTGTAATGCGACAAGTTTGGTTTGGAATGGTTAATCTCAGGTTTTCAATAGCTACGTGAATTGTTTCGGTATTATGTCGGTAGGTGTGAGCTAAGGATTCACGGTGTTTCAATATCTGAAGTTACCTGTTTTCACCCGTATTCAATCGCCAAACATAAAACCTTCAACCCTGCTTGATGGAAAGTTCCCATACGAATAGATCCCAATCTAAACATCCAACTACCTGCCCAACTCTTCTACTACGATTGCCTCTGTGTTTTCCCCTGTACTTCTAAACCAATCACAGTAAAGTCTGTTCCATTTAAACCAAGCAAATGTGTTTGTTAGTAATTCTTCAAGTGACTTCTGCACTTCATACTTGTCAATCTCCTTTTCCTGATGTTTTTTGTGTAAGTTGATCTTTGACTTCACCGGACTAACACGATTATTACTTCGTTTTAGTGAATTTATTTTGCATGTAGGCCTATGTATGTTTTATGGAATCTGTTTCTTCAATAGTAGTACGAGTGTTCCTGTGACAAAATTATCTTTATGATTATGTAAATGTTCCAGTTTCTAAACTTAATTTCAGAATGGCCGTATTAAATTTGAATGGCATTTGGACCGCCTTGATTTAAACATTTTTTAAATGATTCATCACTGAAATAGGATAATTTCGTGGAAATGCCTACAATTACTCTTTATCATAAAACGTGAAAAGTTCTCCTGAAAACCGAAAGGGTAATGCTTGATTACGGGGGCATGCATAGTTTACTGTTGAGTCACCACATCTAATTTCTTTGTCACAATTCGCTCCCCTGCCCCCTGTATTCGCTGTTCACGGTCTCCATCATTGCCAAGGAAGTTTATAAAGTGCGGTATCCAGAAATGTTGGCATGCTCGATATTCAAATCTCGTAGTTGTGAGATTTATTGATTCCATTGAAATCCATCAAAGGGGAAGTACTGCTAATTCACATTACGAAGGATCCGACATCATGATGCAATATGAAACTACGCAAAGCAAGTCACTACACACGTTAACAAGAATGATAGAGCCCGCATTAATTTGACTTGAACATAAGTGAATGTGAATTAACGTTTACGGCTAAGTCTTGGCTTAAATTTTTTAATGCTACTGGCGATTATTATGCTTTGTCAACTTAATTAAGTCCTCCCAAATGCTGCCAGGGTGGTTTAATCTTTATTGATGAGAGTCTGTTTAAATCCATATGACCCTGCAGTACTGACCTTACAACAGTTTTCGGAGGACAACTCACAAGTTTCCGTCAATGACATTAAATTAATTAAGATAGCGTTTTAAAAGCGCAAATTTTTAGTAGGACATCATGGCTAAAAAAGGAAACCAGGTTATTAGCTTGAAACTGCAAACCTGTATAACTTACCAGAAGTCACAATGAATTCAACAAGTGGACTACCGTACGTGATGCTCAACTGGTCTAATTCTTGATTTCGACTGAGGTATTTGCTCACGATGGTACAAAACTCTCGAACACTGATTACACAGAATGTGCGGCTATGCAGGGTAGAATCAAATGAACGACTTGTCATCACGTACAATATCCTCAGTGTACATGTAGGCCTAATGGCCGATCTGACGACTGACGTATGCGGAAACCATGTGAAAGAGTTCAGTTTTTCAAAGGTAGACCAGTGTGTGTGATTGTTGGTGCATTGTTGAAGGTCACAGTGCAACACGTATTTTCCCATACGCAATACTTGTTTTCGCTTCCGCCTGGGCTTTGTTTGCCTGAGTAGGCAAGTACAATAGCCTATGGTGAACTTGCACAAGGATGTTGCCAGTGCACCAGCGCGCATTCATGGCGGAAATAAACGAATGCTGTCATGTTCGGCTGTCTTGAACACCCAATGCATTTCACAGTCTATTGTTAACGTATTTTAGACCCAATTCACAGTCAGTTGCCGAAGAATTTTAGAGCAAGTTTAGGTCTACTCAAAATAGTTAGGACAGTAACGTTTTTAGGAAAGATCGAGGTCTGTCTCCTCCTGGGCGATGGCGGTGTTAAATGGAGAAGTCATTAGGAATCAAACAACAGCGATAGTCCCAAAATATTACAGGAACTCATTCAAAAATTGAAATTCTCTCAATGTCAATGATTAGGGCCTATCCGTCCGCTTGAAATTGATGTGCAATTCGCATCATGCTGTTGAATTGTGTTTTGAAGAAGCACTGGAAAAGGTTCAGGAGCTGAGTTTACGGTCTGCTGATCCTAGAGCTGCCTGGTTCTCTTTTCTATCTACAATTATTGTTTAAGCTTCAATAGACACTTACTGTTTGAAATTCTCATTTGGAAGCCATTTTCAATTAGGGAATAAAATGACATTTTCATTGCAGCATATGGTAATCTCAATAGACCTAACGGAAAAGCAATATAGGCCTACGTCGTCTTTTGTAATCAAGATAATCTCCGCAAACACATCATCGGATTTAACTAAAATCTTCAGTTTTAAACGATTTCCCTGTTAATCGTTTTAGGAGAAACAAATATCACTTTTGGTTGGGTTTTGTTTTATTTATTTATTTTTTTTTATTTATTTATTTTTTGTTGTTTTTTGGGGGGGGGCATCGTTTGAAGACATTCATCACTGAGCCCGAGTCAGGAGACTATGCAGTAACACTGTGAGTGGAGATTCCTGTGCAGTGGCTGAATGGGCCGATACGTTTGTGGCTGTCTCTCCTGCACTGAGAGAAGGTGAAGACATGCTGGTCTGCCAATTCTAGGCCTATGCCCTGGATCTTTCTCCTCTGTCTCCTGGTCTCGGACTCCTCGGTCGTTTGGTTTCTCCATTATTAAAGATTCTCGCGTAGCCTGAATCAAATAACTTCTGAAAATCCACTTCCTTGTGGATCTTAGGTGCGATTCATGTTAGGAGAACTACTTCTTTACAAGCATGGAACTCATTGTTTCACTTCTACGTAGGGATGTGGCATAGCGTAGAACATCTCCGTCTTTGGTGCAAACTGTTTTTTTTTCTTCAGGCAGTTCCAATGCATACTGGTCCTGCTTGGAACGGGATACAATCCTCTCAATGGTACATGTAATGGATCACATCGGCTTTCCACAATCTCTCGACATGGGGTTCGATTTCTTGACAGTTAGTGATCTTGAAGCACTGCTGCTCATTGAATTTTTCATTTCCATAGGTTACAGTGGGATGATGAGATTGGAGCAGTTGGAGCCAATTAGGATCAACTGCGTTACATTACTGATCAAACTTAGAGGCCGCGTGCAACTCCGCGTAGGTGACATGTGGCCAACGCTTTTGCAGAGCTGTATTGGATAGGTGTATTTTAACAGGCGTAAACTGTCGGTGGTGAAAGCTCCTTTAATGGTGTACTTGGTGTCAGGAAAGGCCCTTGGGGACAGTTAGATATTTACCAATTGACCTTCGTATCGGAAAGGCAGTTGTTGAACTGTCGATAGAAAGATACCCTTCTCCCCGATGAGGTTAGTTGCTGGAGTGCAGGGTTGAGCACCATTGTTCGTATGGGTACACTTTTCAACGGCCTTTAACGTGACATTGTGAAGACGAAGATAAGTCATCAAGGTCCAGATAAGTCATCTAGGTGGTAACTCCAACGGTGTCTGAGAATCTGCTGGCCCCCTACTGAATAGCGTCTTGCACACATGGATCTCCTTGCAGATGTTGCATGGTTTGGGGATTTGGGGATTTTTAGTGGGGATAGACTGTTCAAGTTAATGGGTACGCAAACGTGTCGAGCATGTTGATTTTTCCTTAAGCCACATTTGCTTGTGCGTGAGTGGCTTAAATTCAGTGCAACCATTTAAGTGGTCATGCTTGTTGCATTGTGGACAGAAGACTCTACGTTTGTCCTTTGATGATGTCTGCTGTGGAGATGATTTTCCAATTGTCTGTCTTCTGTCATCAGCCATGAAAACAGCGGTGGGCTGAATCCCTGTCTTAAGGGGAACCTGTCTAAATTTCTTCTTCTCTTGTCAAGAATGATTTTCTTTCTAGACCATTTGCTACTTAACCAGCGATCTGCTTTGCCCTCGATTGTACTTGCAACTCCTCCTCAAGATGGCGAAGGGTCCGGCCCCCAGCGGGACCAAGAAAGGGCGCAATTTTCCTGCTAACAGAGGTTCCTTCAACTACACATCGCTGGTTCACGAACAACTTTAAAACGCAAGCGTTGCAGTTGGTTCATCGAGGAAAACTGTCTGTACTTGATGCTCAGATAGTTAGAAATGATCATGGATTTAAGGCTTGCAGTGGACCATACATGGAAAACTTATTTTGGGATGAAATACCAATCTTTAAGAAACTGCAATTAAATAACTGGAAAGGTGGAACTGAAATCAGTAATGAAAACTTGGGAATATGGAACAGGAAACCATGGTGAATGGGGAATAAAAAAATAAAACGCTAATAAATTTTCTGGAATATAGGCCTACCAACACTTACCCACGGGGCCACAGTGGCGTATCCAACGGGGGAGGGCAACTTGCCCCCCTGGCGACGGACTTATTATTCTTATTATTAACTGAGATTACTTCATAGGCGATTAGGAAAGAAACTAGTCGGTATATTTATTTATCAAATAAATAGTCTATATTTTTTTCTCCCCGATTATTACGCTGAATGAGCCCGAAAGTGCACTTGCGTTTTGAATTTGCCCCTTACTCCAAAAGCTGGATATGCTAGTACTGGGCAATACCTGAAATGAACATAAAACGTTACAACGATTATCCCAGAATAGGCAAAACATGTACTCCAAAATCATCTTGTATTATAGAGACTAAAGAAATACATGGGTGTACTCACAATTATTGTGAATAACACCCAGTAAGACAAACATTTGAGGTATACTGGGCAGAGATTTGTACGGTGAACGTGATTCAGGGCGGAACGTACAATCAAAAAACAAACAAACTATCGAGAGCACCCTACTGATTTCCGCTTGGCCATCCATACCTCTCCGGGAGGGAGTTAGTCTGCAAGCCAAACGGGGAGTTTTATTCTAGAGGGCCTTTATTTCATCCTGCAGCTATTCAATACGATTTGCTGCCACCAAAGGTAGCTTTCTGGTGACTTGCAGTAAGGGTGATCGCGAGTCACCTCCACATTGCTTGTTTCCTCTAGTGACAAGAGTGATTCTTTAATCTTGGTGCGCACTGGTACTTCTTGCTTTGAGTGTGATTCTGATGTGTTGTGCTGCTTCTGAACAAAAACAACTCTGTTATGATTAGATAAACGAACAGAGATACGGCCTTTGTATTACACATAATTGTAATGAAAATTACTATAGGTTTTTTCTGGCCAATTTCAGCAAACTAGCGTTCACTTTAGTAAGAGGCCCATTTAAAATTCGTTTCAAAACAATGCTTCTTCATATAAGCATTTGAAAATCTAAAGAACTCATTCGGTTACGTGGTTTGACATTCTGGTAGATAAATACATTAATTCAAACTCGTTTCAACTATTCGTTTCATTCATTCAATTTTGTTGAAGGCCTCAGAAAGAGGTTGATCGGGAATTCGATTTAATCAAAGGCAAACTGCTATCGCATATGTACATTCAAATTGGTTTCTTTATTATGGTAAGCTTTGCGCTTTCTCATTCGTAGTTGCCTACAATTATAAAGCTAATCAACTTTGTCGGCTCCACGGGATCCCCCCAATGCAGACCACGCCCTCAAAAAGGACACTTCCGCCACAACACACACTGAGAAGTCTTCCTAGAAAGGTTTCCATCTGATTTATACTGAAGACTAAAAAAATAGATTGAATAAGGGATCGCTTTATCCACGAATAAATCTGAGACAATTTGGGCACATGGTGCAGCGTGGGCCGTTGTAATGGACATGGTCCCTCGCCGCTGGATTTTAATTTAACTGTTCTTTCACCATTAAGCCCAACGAATACACCAAATAGAGGGCGCTGATGAAGGGAGGATCATGTGACTAGACTGCCTCCAGAGGAGAGTCACGGACCTGTACGATGAAATCTAGACTCGCTCTGCAATCAGCTTATAGAGTCATTGAATCCACTCACGGTCATTTTACCGAGCCGAATACAAAGCTTTCCTGACAATGCCCGCCTTTGTTCTTCCTGACGTCAATAGAAGGGAACCAACCTACACTTATGTGTTCGGCTCGATGGCCGCTGGTTGGCTTCTTTTTCATACAAAGGCGTTGCAAGTCCAGGTTTTTTTTTATATACGTCCGTGAGTAGAGTAGCTAGTATTTTTTCCCAGAGTCAGGCTGGAGTCAGAAACGACAATAAGGCGTTATAAAATGATTGCATACATTGTTTACAATAGTATTGGTGCACGACCGTCAGTTATTTTTCGATTGTTCTCCCCTTTTTTTACGTTGCCCGATCTGTGTCTGTTACGTGTGCTGTGTGCAGCAAGTGCAACTACTGGGACCTGAATAAATTTAAGGGGCTATTGCAAGACTACGCCACTTTAATACAACTCATACTACGAGATAAACGATTCATCCTTGGAACTGACCGTTAGTTCTGCAAGAAACTCTTACTCCATCACCAAATGGTCCCTAAACCTACCTAACCAAGCCCCTCAACGACATACTCACCACTCAGAACTTAAGCACTTCACATTAAGCTAGGCGATTTTGTAGCCAAACCCTAAGCAAGATTTATGATCTTTAATAGATGGATTTCACATTAGCGCCGTCTGCGCATATCCGCATCGAAACCGAGGCTCCCTGTGTTCAAATTTGTCGCGCGCGCCCGCCAGTAGGCCTACAGTAGGCCTACATGCAGTATCCGGTTCGTAAGTGTGATACCAATTCAGTTTAAACCACGCCCACTGCACAAGATACACGGCCATCCCAGGTTCGTTAGTTCGCAGTAAATTGCCATTATTTTTTCTTTTGATTTCACGTGTTGAGTCATCCTGAAAGACTTATACACAAAAATTTCCAGCCTGAAAAGTCTAAATTTAACATAACTTTATGTATTTTGTTTCTTAAGTCCTTACTTTCAATCGTCTGATCGAATTAAGACTTGAAGTTGACACATACAGCCTCGTTTTCAAACGCGGAAGTGCGCAGATCGACGCTAAAAGCGTCATATTGGGATCCCTCTATATCACCATAGACCTGAAGGAGAAAATTTGTATTTTCTCCTTCAGGTCTATGATATCACTTGTGCGCGCCTTTTAAAGCCTCACGAGCCGGCCGCTGCTGCGATTACGCTTGTGCGTGGAATAAAATTGTAGCCTTGAGTAGAGGAAAACTGCAATGCCAAAGCTGTACAGAGAGTGCAAGTCTCGCTGACCATAAATGATGCAGAAATGGAATCGACCTCTTTGTGTGAACACCATTTGAAAAAGTGCTGTGATTCCCGTCATTTTTGCTAGTTGAGACTCTCCTACTGCCTGCCATGGCTGAACCTTCGCAAAGCCTGCTGCTCTGAAGGACAGTTTGAAAGCAGAGAGATAGAGCCTGTCAAGATCTGGAAACAGGTTATTGTGAGCAGGTCCGGATCGGTCTGGAAGAAAAACTGGCTGGTGGATTAGGAGATCCAGGAGCCAGGTATTAAAACACTATTCGATTGTGCCCGAATGGAGCAGTTAAGAGTTTTGCATTCTTCCTACTGGTCGACTTCAGTAAAAAAAAAAAAAAAGATGATTTTGCGGGGAGACCGGAAGCCAGGAAACCCGCTATAATATTCTGTCCAAAACCTTTGTTCTTCATTGTTTGTATTTTCGATAACACAAGTTTCCAGTTTAGAGCCTACATTTATAACAAGGTTATCTGCGAAGTACGGCCTCATGACTGACAAGTCATCAGTGCGCCCGTTGGAAAAAAAGGGCGAGTTGGGCGAGCAGCGTTTGGAGTGATGTAATGATCTTTGTTCCCTGGAAAAGCTTGCGCATACGAACTAGAAATGCATTTTGTAGGTACTGGAGGTGAAGCATTAGGTGTCGGATGTGAGGTATTTTTGCAACAGAACGATAATACTAAACATGCATACAGGGTGACAGAGGAGGCGTTCGTCAAATCTATTTAATTTCTTTATAGGGAAAAAGAAAAAGAGAATAAAAATTTAGCATAACATAAAGAATACAAATGAAACTGTAAGCATTAGCAAAGTTTAACAGGGAAGAGGGTTTACCCCCAAAATTCAGTCTTTAAAGATTTCTTTCCAAGTGAATGCCAATGTTGCCTGAAATAGTTGATGCAACTCATTCATTCAAAGTTTTTCCTAACAAAATTTATCCTGAAAAGTCAGCTTCAAAATAACATACTCCAAACCACACATCTGAAAGCAGTTACTGCAACATACATGAAGGAGGAAAAGACTAAAATGAAAAATCTAATAAAGCAACTACAACTTAAACATCCTTCCGTACTTCCAACGTCAATATATATCTCATATAATAAAAAATGTCCAACAATGAAAAGCGTCCAACAACTTTAGTGGCCGATTTAACTACACTGGCACAATGCCCTACATGGTTGGTCAGCACACGGTCTTAAATGCAGGCAATATGGATGCCATATACCTTTGCATTAGAATGTAGGCAATACTTATGCTGATGTGACCTTCAGATTTTACCTGTGAATCAAAGTTTAATACATAAAACCTAAAAGACCAAAGTCCTGCAATTGCTTGACACTTTTTGACACAATATTGGGTGTGCAAGCATGGCATACATAGTGTGGACCTCTACATAAAAGAAGTCCACAATACATGTAATGTAGGGTATGATGGCGTGTGGACTCGTACACGTCCACACAATGTTTTCCCCTCTCTGAAAAAGTTTCAGAGGCATTTTGGAGTCAAAATTATCCGTGACAAAATACGGAGGAATTTTGGAGGAATATCCACACTTTGTAAAACAGGTATGGGTGATTATGCTTGTGACCATTTTGTGCATACGTGAATATTTGCAAAAGTGATTTCGTAACAAACTTTAATGCCGTCTTCTTTTTAAGGCAGATTACATTATGTATTTTAATCACTGAATTACAAACCACAACATGATTGTTATAGAAAGTGAAAAAGTCACAAAAATAAAACAACATAAAGATATACTATGAAAAATATCGCCATTAAGCATTTGATGAAAGCATTACCCAAAACAATGTATGACAGAAGTGCTTCCTAGAAGCTTCAATGACAAAAATATAAATGAAAGGTATGCATGTACACTAATTAATTGGAAAAGAAAAGACAATGCAATGATATTAATGGACAGATCATGAACATAAACTGTGATACACATGCACAAAGGTCATAAAAAGACTTCATTCCCATGAAACATGGCTGAGACACAAGTTTCCTTCACATACACTTCTCAGAGAAACAACATTAAAACAAGAAAAATATGTCCACATACATCGACATGTAAATATCATTACATGTAACTGGCCAAGCTAAAAAATGTTACGAAGTCAGTTTAATTGTAACCCCTTAGGGTGTGCGTAAAATCGTATTGAAATTGGAGGATTTGGGACTGTTAGGGATAGGAAATGTATTTAACAACACACGTGTGATATTTACCTGTCATACCAAAACATGTTTTCAAATTTTCTAAAAGGTTTCCAAATCATTGAGAGCCAAGATTCTACTCCACCTACAAAGTTCCTACTCATAAACTGTCAGACTAGCATCTTCTACCTGCAAAAAGGATCATGGTCCATCAAATATAACATTTCTTCTGTGTTTAAGGGAGTGTTTAAACAGGAAGTCCAATGAGTGTTAATATTTCACTGAAATGATAACACTGTTTTGCAGATGATGTCCAAACATTCATAAAGCTGTTCTTCAGTCAAGACAAGTGGGGGAGCAAAGCGGATGATGTCACCATGGGTAGGCTTTGCCAATAGTCCATTGTCACGAAGCTTCAAGCACACTTTCCAGGCATCAAATGCTGGGGGAAAAATAACAATATTACACTAGAAAGGATACTCATTACATAAACTCTAGGTGATTGGGATTACATCTGCATGATTTTCTGACCAATCATCTGGATTTGATCGTTTGATTGATTGATCGATTTATAGATCAATTGATTGATTGAAGGATCAATTGATTTGCATATCCATCAAAGAATCTTATGATGTGAAAAAATTTCAAATAAAACTATAACCAATTTCATATTATGAGGCACTAATAATAAAGGTCAAATAAATTTACATATATGTACGGCAGAAATAAAGATCTAGTATTCATTTGCACATTTCCCTAAAATTTACATATATGTATGGCAGAAAAAAAAGATCTAGTATTCATTAGACATTTCCCTAAAATTTACATATATGTACGGCAGAAATAAAGATCTAGTATTCATTAGCACATTTCCCTAAAATTTACATATATGTACAGCAGAAATAAAGATCTAGTATTCATTAGCACATTTCCCTAAAATTTACATATATGTATAGCAGAAAAAAAAGATCTAGTATTCATTAGCACATTTCCCTAAAATTTACATATATGTATGGCAGAAAAAAAGATCTAGTATTCATTAGCACATTTCCCTAAAAGCCGAGACAAGGTCTTTCACAGTCAGGTTTGTTACTGATTTTCATGAGGTCAACGCAAGAAAACATGAAACCTGTTTATTTCATTATTTGGACAAAACTTCAGGATTGTGATATATCTCTGACATGACTGTTTGGCAGTTTTTTTAAACATGAAAGACCTTTTTATTGCAACTTCCTGTCTGATGATGTCATCAGCTGAAATCCTCAGTCATGCATTATCTGCATGAAGGTCATAGTATCTACATGTACCAATTTTCAAGCAATTACATATAGGAGGCATCTCATGACTGAATTGATTTGGAATTTCAAAGATTACAAATGATAATGTGTAAGTGTTTGTAATTTGACAGCTGATGATGTCATCATGATATCGACCTTGTAGGTCCATCTCAGGAACAGGGTTGATCAGGAACATCTGATTGGGTTGTTGCATTTGTTACATGTACATTGTATTATGGTGTAACAACTTTACAGTCCGTCTGGTCTGGATGGACACCCTGCTGGTGTGAAATCCTTACTTTTTCTCATATAAAAAAACCTAGTTTTGTGACTCAATGCAATACATGTGCATCAATGGACCTTTCACCACCCCGTCTGTATGACTCTAAATGCACATAATGTCTTAGTGTAGTTGCTTTCAGATGAATGATCCAGCTATTAACATACAGTAGCTGAATGACTACAGACAGTCTGTCCTAGCATATCGTCGCCTTCTTGCTAGTGCAATAGATATGCTGTATGTACTTCTAGCTTCCCAATAAGCTACAAAGCCGAGGTACAAGCCTAAAAGAGCATCTGCCCACCTCTCAACCTTTTTTCGCAACAGTGCATTTTTTTCATGAGCTGAGCCCTTAGGAGTTGTAGAGAACTTCTTTGCAGTCATTTTGATCCCAATTTTGTGAATATTGAAAATACCGTTCTTGCACAGCACCCATATTTTTCAGACAGGTAAGCAAAAAATGAATACTTTTTCACTGCTGTGCTCAATGCACATGGGTTGGCACACGAGCATTGAACTTCAAATGACTGTAACAAAACCATGTCAAATTGAGTTGTAACTTCACATTTGTAATGACAAGGAGTGTCTTTTACATGCATGCCAAGTTTTAAAGAAAAAACAAGCTTGACACAGCCCAGGCCAAGTTCTAAGGGGGTAGAATCTACCATCCCCGCTCCAGCTATGAGAAGGGCCAAATCATCAAGCTCTTTGAGGGTTTTATTTTAACCAGCCAGCAAAGCAAAGGATAGAGAGCTAAACAAGGCAATGCAGTTACCAGTATCATCTACAGCGCCTTCATCAAGGCTTGTCACCCATCTGTATGATGATCTATGATCTATCAAGACAAGAGTGGGTATTGTCATTTGGCAATGGTATTTTCCCATTTACCAGTAGATGACAGATAATGGGGCAACTGAAAAGCTCCCTCATCTTGTGACAGTACAATGATAAAGAAGTATACCTGCCACAGAAAACTTTTTGTAGCAGCTTTTCTTAAAAAAATGAGTGACATGTTCAATGTTTGAACCATGTGCAGCATCGGAACTTCCATATAATTTATACCTGAAGTGGATATTAATGGATCCAATAATGAGTGCAAAGAATATTCACAATGGCATTCTAGCACACCGCTGGATAGAGGATGAATTGTTCCTATTTACGTGAACATGTACATGTACATCCACTCCAACAGACAGAGTGTTCGCGGACAACGCAGTAAGGGTAGATTTTACATCTTCCCAGTTGTCAAAGATAAATAAGTACTATGCCAAGGATTTTTGGAAGATTGCCTAGACAAATTTCCAGCGTCCGCAGAAGCACTTCAAATTTAGAAAAGCAATGCATCTTCAAGCCTATCGACGAGAATCTAATATCAAATCAGTGCTCTGAAATATGTGATTGCCGAGCTTTCGGTAACTAAATACCCTTCTTCAGGGCAAGCTTGGCAATCACATATTTCAGAGTACTGATTTGAGATTAGATTCTCATCGATATTCTGATCACGGTGCTACGCAGCCCTTCCGTATTTCTTGCATCTTCAAGCCTCACTGACTGCTTGTGTTGTGTTGTGTTGCAGCTGCCAGAGTACAGAGCTGTACAGAGCTTAGGACCGCCACAGCCCCACAAGCAGACAGGTTCCATGGCGTCCTCCTCCTTCATCGCCGAGAAAAGTAAAGTTATTGTCTTAAGAATTGAATCCACTCACTTCCTCCTGAAGAATCTTTTTCTTTGACACAATGAAAATGTAGACTCGGCAAACAAGCACACACATGGGGTGCTGTCTTTTTTTATTGATGCTTCACATGTACACCCATACACGTACAAGGTAGCTCACGATTCATCCCAAGATTCAAGTCAGGGTTCTCTTATGCTGACCATGTTATTCTCTGTAGCATATGAATTGTCTGTTGCCACTGCACATGAACAAGAGTGCACTCACATGCACATGTCCACTGTATGCCATGCAAAGAAACATTCCTCTCCAACTTCAATGTCTGGTACTCCTTCACTCCTAGATAGCTGAATTTGTCAGTTTAGGGGAGTAAGTAGCTTCCATACATGTACGCCATATGTGTTCAAGAAAATTAAACAACTTAAGGTCAAACAAAATAGCAGTTGTCCTTGCTATTACCATGACAATATGAACATTGAAAAAAATACATGAAGGTTGGGTAGGTGAGTAGTATCCTTTTTTTCTTTTAAAGTTTTTGCTTCAAAAATTTAGGGTGGGAATTTTTTTTAAATGAAAAAGTGATTTTGATGGTGTACGGCCTATTTCATTCACTTTTTCACACGGATTCGTATCTTGAGGATTGGTGTTGTCAAAGATCTGATACGTTGGCTGGAAGACAGCTTTCTGAAGTGCCAGAATTTTTGGTTAGCAAAGAATATGACTCTTACTTGTCAGTACAGGAAGGTTGATTTTTGACTGAATAAGCTTCCATTAACTTCTTATTCCTCTATGTTAAGAGGTACATGTACTACCAATTTTAATATGAAAAGGAATGTTCCGAAATCTAGAAACAAAGTTGGGAGGCAGTGTCAACATAAGCCCGTCTGATGTCAACAGAAATTCATGAAATTGAAACTCCGCTGCCATTTCTCCTTTTCCAAAAAAAAAACAGTATACATCGATACTTCCAGGAAACAATGTTTGAAGAAATTTTTTCAGTTTTCTTTGTTAAGTCATGGCAATAGATGCCTATAAATATAATGTTGCTGTGGTTATTTAGATCAAGAACGATTATGGAGGTCACACAACACCTTGTGGCTAACGTTTGCAGCACTGGCACGTGCTCTTTTTTCAAAGCCATTTTTCCTGAAAAAGTATTTTTGATGACCACAGGGATGTTTCTCGTCGTCTTTTTCACATCGTATTTTCAGAGTGGCATGGCCTACAAGTATAAATGTGGTATAACCAGAAAACTCATTCCTTTCTCTATTTTTATATGCACATCTCAAAAAGTCATAAATGGGGTTGATACCCACTATAGGTCTGGGGATTAAGCAGGTGCAATTGGTCTATTGCTTAGTCATCTTTTACATCAGAATGGTACAAACTCAAGCTCATAGACAAAAAGAACAAGGACAAAATAAGACAATGTCTTATAAAAAAAGGGCATTCAAAAAGACAGATACAAGAAAGGAGCGAAAGTTGACACAAAGTAAAACCATGAAGAGAGAGCGAAGAACCAAGAGCATACATAATGATGTAGAAAGGAAAAAAAATACAGGAGACAACACATTCCAAGATGTCCCCAAATCATCAAAAAACCACAGAAGCTTGCAAAAGTGGTCAACAGAGTCAGGAGATCACAACCTAATAGCCCAAGAAGCAAACAATGGTTGAGTCCTGAGACTAGCTAAAAAGCAGAATATGAAATAATACCAAAAGCTAAGGTAAATCACTCCACAGTTTTGGACAAGACACAATAACAACCATCAAGGAATTTTATGAAAGAGATGACATATCCAGGAAGTCACCAGGTATAAGGATGACTTCATCGTTCACCAATAACTCCCTAAAAAAATCAGGCCATTGATGGAATATGCAGCTCCTGCTGTGTGGAACAGAGCACTTACCTAGCACCAGGTGATTCGGCTTGAAAGAGTACAGAAACGTGCCTTGAAGATTATTCTTGGGGTAGAGTATTTGTCATACACCCAAGCTTTATCGCTTTTCAATTTAGATTCTTTGGCAATCAGGCGTAATCAAATATCATTATCCTTTGACCACACTGACCTTTTTCGTGAATTCTTCCCGCCTCAACATACAAGAATGTTGCAGAATAAACCATTCATCCCTGAAATTTGTTGCCGCACAAAACGTTATTTCACCAGTGCGCTTCCTACCTTAATCCGCTTGCATAACAAATATGGGAAGGAATGCCCCTCTAATAAGTTCTTTTAGTAGAAATATTTGGATTGTGCTCCTCTTAAGAAATGCCCTCTATTACACCTTTTTTATATGGGAGTGAAATTTTAAAGGTTACATGTGACTGAAATATTTAAGATCACAATAATTTCATCTTTGAAGTGTAAATTGCAACGGACGTGTTTTAGTAGTGTTCTTATATGAGTGTTGGTCATTAGTCATGTTATATGGTTTATTTTTTGTGAGTATAAACTGTAATGATAAATGTTGAATATTTTTGTAACTACTTAATTCTGTTTTTTTTTATTCTTATTTTAATTGTTTAATCTTTTTTATTTTGATTGTTAAATCCACTGTAATTCAGTTTTTTTTAACTTCGAAAATGGATTTTAATAAACCAATATGAAATGAAAGAAGGGCACAAGATTCATGTAATAATTTACATGTAGAAGTGTTCCTAAGGAATGACCATACAAGAAGTTTACCAATGCTTCAAGGAGGAAAATCCAAATGTGAAAATTTGCAAATCTAAATTTGCTGAGCTATGGCCACAACTTCGTGAAAATAAGTGACACCCCAAGAAATGTATGTCTGTGTCGATATGGGGATAATCTTATTCTGCACCTACAACGCATGTATAGTGCATATAAGGAAGTAAAAGAGGTGCATGTATTCTCACTTTAACACTAAAGTGACTTTCCTGAGATGTGTGTTTGTGATGCTAAGGCACATGACTGCATGGCTGACAACTATATGGCAAGTGGTGAACTTGATCCTTTTGTCACCAACTTCTTGCAAAACTTCCAGGGGAAAATCTACTGAAGCAGGCCCAATGGCAAAAGTGGAAGACTACGTTGGGAAGAATGGTTAAAGTCATCAGGCAGGGCATTGTTGAGGATCTGGTCACTGAGTTGGAAAATGACCTCCCTAAATTTTTTCATTGTTTTGTTGAACATAAGCAGAGCAATGAGGTTGAAGAAGAGAGGGTCAATTAAGCAAAGGATAATATAGTTGCTGTACTTCAATGTATTTTGCATAGGGCTATACCGAATATTCAAATATTCGATTGATTAACAAATATTGAATTATTTTTTGAATTTGAATATTAAAATGCGAAATTTCTAAAAAAAGAGAGAATTTCCCTTTTTAAATGAGAAAAATCACACAATGGAGGCTTGTTTTAAGTACATGTAGATTCCAGACACTTTGAGATAGCTGACACGCCCAACAGTCCAACAGAGAAGCCGTCCTAGAATATGGAAATAGCTTTTCAAAAAGAAAATATGAAGGTGCCAAGATAGTAGTCTTTGTAATAATGATGCATTGATGCAAACTTTTTTGAAATAAATTATGATGAAACCTTCAAGACAGTATTTGAAATTGAAATAAAAGATAGAAGCTTTTATAGTTATCATAATGTAAAATTGTGAGCATTATTGTGACTGATTTATGGTTTGTTCATTAACGGTCTACCCGCTAGTACAAACAAATTTTCGACTGAACTGAAGGTCGAATACTGAATAGTTGAATAGTCAATTATTCAAACTGACTCAGCCCTAATTTTGCAGAAAATTTTACAGAATATCAGGACGAAGTGCAATCAGCACACTGACACCAGAAGCAGATTTCTGTGTTCACTGGTATGGCTTGGAGTGGTGAAGGCGATCAGTTATATGTTGTCATCAGCAACTGCTTTAAGATCATGACAAACTGTGAACTGCTTCCTCTCCAAAATTCTCACTGACATGAAGAGCATCTTTCCTAAAGTTCAACATATATCTTCATTGATGGGGCAGCCTCACAGTTCAATGTTTTGTCTTAAATGCAGAGTCATTCATAGCAGCAGGCAGAAACAAAAGGTGAAATTGATAAGTTTGTAGAAGCTGCAAAAATGCACTAGCTTAATGAAATACATGTTTGGGCAAATGTTTCAACACTACCTGACACACAAGCTGTTTACTTCATCAAACCACTTGATTCCAGTATGGTAACCTACTAACTATATTCAGCTGACCCTGGAGACCTATGAAGCACTCTCAACCTCAATCCACTGAGATCTACTATCACTCCAACAGCTAAGATGATGAACTACAAACCACTGATTGCACTGAACACAAACTGTCTAACACCCTAAAAATTCATTCTTCAGGTAAATCCAACTCCTTTCAGAATTGATAGTTTCTGTTTACTTCCTGTTCCAAAATGATGGGTATTAGTGACATTTATGGACATGTATATTCATACTGTGTACTGGTATGTGCAAGTAAACTGTACGTGTACATTATTCAAATACAGGTGCATATACATATACATTATCCCTGCATAACCTTAACTGCTGCTAAATAAAGTGAAACAATCAGAGATCCATGCCATCCACTTTACTGTTTTGCTTTGAATCAACCCATTATCAGACACCTCCCACCACAAACAAGCACTCTTCCTTTTTGTCAATCTTTTGTTCCCAACTCCATTAACTGGTTTAAGTCTTCCACTTCACAGCAGATAACGTAAACACACATGGGGAGTAATCTGGTTCAGTATAGGGCTCCGATTTTGTTTTAATCTGTAAATTAAGAGAATTATCCTTTTTCAGTAATTCATTTTATCCTTTTTCAGTATATTCTATTTTATCAATGCAAGATAAAATGCATTATTCTGGGCAGGCAAACGTTTGTTGTCAATCTCTCGCTCGATCAGCTGTTTGTTGCCATGGTGAAGTAAACATTAGGGATGAAGTAAAAACACCCAGTAACCGGCACTCCTTGCTGGCAGGAGGCCAAGGTGATTCATAATCATAGCGATATGTAACTTCATTTTGCACAGGCGGAAATTGTTATACAATTGTCCCAATTAAGGGACCATGCCAAAACGGTTTGCGCACACAGGCCAC